CAGATTTTTGCCATTTGGACGTCACTGTTGAAAAGCCATATTCAAGTCTGTTCAAAACTACTAAAAGTGACCAAAGCTAACATTTTTCCTTTTGTTATCAACACTCGTGCTGCTCGTGTGATATTAGAGAAACTCAGAGGGCTTATATGAGCTTCAGTGACCATTCATTCATTCGTTCAGACCATTAACTGCAGCTGTTATACCAGGAAACCTGGAGCAATTCTTCAGCTCTGGATTAAAGTGTTTGGAGCAGCAGTTGGAAACATTCAGAAGCCAAATGAAGCTGATCAACATTACAACGGCCAAATCTGAGGGCTCTTCTGTGCTGTGATTGGCTGTGAGAGGGGGATGTTACATCAGTCACCATCCAGCCGGGGAGTCCTCTAATCAGAAGCGCAGAAGGAGGTGCTCTCGTGTGTTGCTGGGAGGCGATCGTTAATTTTGGGTTGTCACAGTGTAGTGGGCTTGTTGTTTTAGTGGAGGTTTTATTTGTGCAGTGAATGTGCATTGTTTTTGTGATATGTTGAAAATCAATAACGCAAAATGAGTGACAAGTGAACAAAAATGAGATAAAAAGAAAATAGCAAATACACTTGTATTCAAAATCCAATCTATGAAAACAAGTTTTAATATCTTGTTGCTTACGAGGATTGTAGTTAAAAGCTTATTTTAGTTCATTAAAAGCTCATTAGGAATTTTTCTTTCTTTCTTCATTTATTTAAGAAGACCCCCACTGTATTTTTTCTCTTAGTCATAGATGGCACATAAATAGCATCTTAATGAATGTCTATGATCTATGTACTCTCCACAGATACTATGAAGTGCAATTATCAGCAGCACATCAAGTGTGTAACAGTTTAATGTTCAGAAAATATGCAATTATGTCTTAATCAGTCATCTGTATTTTAACGCATATAATATACACCACCCTGACACTTAAAAGGATTTTTGCTTCTGGTCATCTTTCTCACCATCACCTTTTCATCTTAGACTTATGCCTAAATGACTGAGTTCATTGGCAAATAGAAATTGTACATACTCTATGAACATAAAATATAAGCATTTCTATGTTGAACAAATTAAATTTGTTCATTTTATTTATTTGTTTCTTTGTTTGATGTTCCCTAATTCTTCCATTCATATTACACACTTTCACTGTATTACATACAGTATGAACATGGAAGTAATTTTTGCTAATCTGATATTACGGTTACATTTAATAAACATGGTTCGTCTCATGAATCAAGTCAATGTTTGAAATATCACGATAAGTAAATAAACAGTACGTAATTCTGGATTCTGTGAGTGGTCGCCAGGGCACTTCTGTGTTGCCAGGGTACTGAGGTTGGTTGTCAGGTTTTTGCTATGTGGTTGCTAAGGTTCTGTGTGCTAAGGTTTTGTGTGTTTTAAAATGGTATTATGCAGTTGCTAGGGTACTATTGTTGGCTGCCAGTGTTGCTATCTGGTTGCTAAGGTTTTCATGGTTTTTAGCATGTTGCTTTGCAGTTGTAATCAGTGGTTGCCAGGGCATTGCTCTGTGGTTGCTAGGTTAATGTGGGTGCTTGTCAGGGGGGTGTTATGCGTTTGCTAAGGTTTTCTTAGTAGTATTTAGTATGTTTCTATTCAGATGGTAGGGTATTCTAGATAGTTGCAGATAATTTTTATGTAGTCGCTAAGTGCTTTTTAGTATGTTTCTCTGCAGGTTGCTTTTTTTTTCCCCTTTGCATGTTTTTTGCACATTGTAATGCAATTTCTAGGGTACCTTGGGTAGCTTCTAGGATATTGCAAAGTGGTTACCAAGAATCTCATAGTAGTTTTTAGTATGATACTGTGGTGTTGCGGCATTACAACACAGAATGATTTTCAGTGGGGGTTTTTTTCAATCTAATCTCATAGGAAAATTTAAGTATTTTATGAGGTAGTGATGTGGATCACATAAAATCATGCTTTTTAGGAAAAAGTAAGCATGAAGGTCCACCTTAAACACAATCTGCTTATGCCCCAATGACAGTTATATGAAAAATAAAATACTTACGAATTGCCATGAGATTGTGTTAGTTTTTTAGTGTGTTGGCATACAGTTGGTAAGGATTGTTAAGCCATGTTTGTGTATTGCTATGCAGTCGTCAGGGGGTTGTAGGTGGTTGCCAGGGTGTAGCAATACATTTGCTTAGGTGTTCTATGTGGTTTATAGCACTATGTGGTTACTACAGATTTCTGAGTGCATGACAGATGATTGCTATGGTGTTCTGGACAAATGCTAGATGGTTGCTTACTGGCTTATTTAGTCTCTAGATACAGCTCAGGTCCCTCTTATAGCGTAAGTCTGTGGGATTTTTTCACCTATTTAATTGTTCACCAGGTGAACATTGTAAAGTATAGTTGCACATCTAACCACAGTAAAAAACATGATTTGTTCAAATCCCTAATAGGACTCAACTGTAATAACCCTTACCACACAATTAACATGGTATCGTTTTCCCAGAATTCTCAAGAAGCACAAAAAGTGAGACAAGTCTTACAATTGATGAACTTCCATCAATCAACTTTAATAGATCATAAGATGATGTAAAAACTACATTGGCGTATGTAAGACAAACACTCTTCTATATGTTCTATCCACTGGACAGTCCCCTTCAGAATGACAAAGAAAAACACAGTCCAAAGACATCTAGCTAAACACCTCTGTGTTGTCTTATCCACTTTGCTTTGCTTCCTTCTCCATTGCAAAAGGACACATCACATATTGCAAGCTAAGGCAAAATGCATAATTAGCAAACAATAAAAAAAAAAACGTCTTCCCTCATTTGTTCATTGATAAAAGAATATAATTCGATTTTTGTTCAACGTAGTGTTGTGTAGTAAAATAGATCTGTATAAGCACTGCACAGTTTCTCCCGGAGAGGATATCTGGAACATGGGCGACAACGGGTGAACACTATCAGGGAAGCGCCGCAATGTAGATGGAAGTGATATGAAAAACAGAGCACAGGTATAGTTTGATTAAAAAAATAAAAATAAATGAAATACAAAATAAATGTAAAAATATTATATAAATAAATGCAAATAAACATATCTATAGTATTCATGGAAAGGGCTGATATTAACGTCACATCCCACTGCCCTGCCATACATTATTTTCTCAATCAGCATCATCTTGTTGTCCAATAAAAAACAAGCGAACATCTGCAGAGCAAGACTAATTTACTTTAAAATAAAAACAATTTTATTTCCAGAAATTATTTTCTGAAAACAAGTATTAAGTAAATTAGGGGTGTTTACTTTTTTTTTTTTTTACTGGAAAACATGAAAGATGCTAAGAATTTTTATTTATTTATTTTTTTTACTGATCTCAATGCAGTCTGAACTTAGCAGGAGCGACTGTTACGAAACAACAGGTGATATGCATTAAGTTACATTCTGAGTATGATAATACAGAACCTGAAAGAGATTCTGTGAGATGAGATTTAAATTTAGTCAAGAAAAAAATAACACTTTTTATGATGTCTGTATAGGTAATGCTTCATATATTTTAATATATACAATAAATACTTATGGTTATACCTTTTAAATATCGAACACAAAATAACATAACAGTGTTGATCTAATGTATTGTACTGACCATTAATAAGTATTAAAATATTATAACTGTGGTCATATTTATTTATTATAAAATAATTTGACAATAATACCTTTTTTTACATTTATTAATCTTGGTTCGTCTAATCTGTAAAAAAACAAATTTGAAAGAGAAAAAAATTGGAAACTACAAATTTGTTTAATTCTGGATAGAATTTAACATTAGGAACTAACATGAGCTAACAATTATATATTTATAAATTACATAAATAACAAAGATTAATAAATGCTGTAAAGTTTTTAAAGGTGAATGCAATAGCATATGCTGACATATAGAACCTGACTGTAATGTTACCGCATAATATTACATTACATATACAGACTTCATAGAAAATGTTACACAAAAGACAATTTTTCATTTCAGTAGATATTCCTTCTAAACTGAAGAAAGAAAAAAACAATTTTACTCCAAATGTGGTTAAATACAAGTCTGTTAGCCCTTAAAGGTACACATCTATAATAATGGTATTTATCATTTAACACTAAATCATAACCAATGTTTGTTTTTTAATGAAATATTCTCTCGATAGTGCTGTCGTTAACCGTGTGCGACTTGTTATTTCTTTTGCATTTTGTAGTAACTCCATCAGGGATGAGGCGTTTGTTTTTCGAACCACACAGGAAGACAAACCATTCAAATGAACATGCTAAACTTTCCCTCCAAATAAGTACCATTCAAATGATTTCCTATTTTTCTCCGTTGAGTGTTTTAGATATGAATTATTTACTTTTATTCATCAGGCAGTGTTTACTTCTAACATTTAAAAAACATTATTTAAAAACAATAATAATAATAATAATAATGCAGCTTGTGATAATCCTGGAGTGACGTGAAATCATAAAACACTTTTGAGAAAAGTAAAAACAGACAAGAGAGCAAGATGAGATGAAAACATTATACAGTTAACGGTACAAAAACACTCAAGGGTTTTTGGCATATTTTATATAGTGGGGAGACAAAACATACGTTTTTGGGTTCCGGGATCAGGCACTCAAAAGAACTCAAATGGCCTTTTTGTTTGTGTTGTTGGGACAGCCGAAATAAAATAAAAATCATATATGTACAAAAATCCCTCTCTCCAATACTTAAATCATTAACAGGCATCAGCATTAAAATACTAAATTCTTCACTAAAAAGGCTAAATTCTGTTGTTATCTTAAATACTTTGTTCTTTTCTCTCTATTAATACTGAAAAATTATTTTATGTTTGTATGCTCACAAGTACACACAAAATGAACTAAACGAAAACATTTCCCTGTCTCGCTTTAACCTGAATTATGGCAAACATTGTTCATCAAAAAATGAAAACAAAAGTTTATTCGGATATATCAATGTACAGTGCTCTTCATTTCATATGTCGCTTGTCTTCAACTATAACTACGCTAACCTTCTCAATAACTAAATGCGAACGATTATTCCCCCCGATACGCAAACACACCAAACCCCAGTAAAAAACGCAAAGCATAAAACGAAATGTTTCTAACTATGCAGAATACTTATTTCATATACTTGCAACAGCATCGTAATCTAGTCATAAATACATTAAGGCCAAGAAAAATAATACATTAAAAAAACGTGAATAAAAAAAAAAATCTTGTGAGCACTGTGTGTTGGCTTTAAAAAATACTTATGAATTGAGTGACGCTCATAATTTCTTTTTTTTCCCATTATTTCATGGTAAGACGTTACCAGAAGGAAATGCACGTTGGTTAGATATCACCGTGTCTCTTTACAAAGACGTTCGGTGGTCTTGTAGAGAGAGCTGTTCTGGGTGTTTGTGTGGGTTCAGGGTCAGTTGTTGCCTTGCGGCTGAAGCGTGGTTTTGTGCAGTACTGCGGAGGAGCCAGCGGTGGGTGCCGTGGTGCTGCTGCCCGTGGCTTTGATCCACGGCAGCGAGAGCAGAGATGCTCCGGTGGTGGTGGTGGCTGTCATAGTTACTTGGATCATCTGGTCACGCTGGATGAGTCGGATCAGAGTCTTGAGATGCTCAAGGGACGTCTGAGTCTCCCGTTTCTGACCCAAAAGACGCTCCTTCAGCTCAATGCAATTCTGTTGAACACAGATTTCAAATTATTTACTTAGATTTTACTAAATATATCTGACAGAGCAATGTCAGGCACAGACAGTCTTAATGTTCTTCTATGTTCATCTTTTTTCAGTTGCTTGGTTTAAAAATGAATTATTAAAAAAAGTGTCCCCAGGTTATGCATCAACCCTTTTTTTGCCCTTTTTAAAGTAATAATATATATATATATATTTTTTTATAAACATAAATATAATAATATATATATATATATATATATATATATGAAGAGTTCATTTACAAAAACCATAACCGGAATTAAACTGTAGTTGGGTTGTTTTGATTAAGTAATAATAACTTAAACAAATACAGCTAATTTACAAAATCAAAAAAGTTTTATAGCAAAAGCAGATAACTCCAACAGTCGTTTTTTGGTAAAAGCAGATAACACCACATTTCATGTTTTAGAGTTTAAAAAAAACCACTCGAAATTATCCATCCTCGATCACTTTTAGTCAGCTTTGACCAAACTCCTCTCAGCTAGCACGTCTTTTCAAAGTGAAAGTAGCCTGAATACAGCGCGCTGATTCGCTAAAATGGACTTACCGGTTTCTGTTCAAAAATAACAAGGGAGCTTGTCGGCTTCTACAGTAAAACGTGAACTTGCGATGCCTTGAAAGTGGACAAAACCGGCTTTGACAAAACGTGTTTAGGGTTCAGATCGCGCTATATGTGGAGAATAATGCACGGCAATCAGCTCATTTGCAAATGAACTCTTCATATATATATATATATGTTTTTAAAATCAATAGATTTTTTAAATCAAAATTAAAATTAGGTAGTCAATATTTCAACTCTGCCCTATTCAGCAGTTTCTTACAGAGAGAGAATCGTAGAGTCTCTTGTCCTCTTCACTCAGATGTTCACACTCTAGTTTCAGCTCAGTGTTTCTCCTCATTAGCTTCCTGCGTTCCTCCTCTCTCACTGCACAAACACACACATCATCATCATCATCATCATCATTCTCATCTTCATCATCACTGAGAACCGAGGAGTCCTGAGGAGTGCTAGTGCATTCAGATGTGTTTGACAGCTCACCTGTTTTATGTGTAACATATGACTGGATGAAGTTCTGTGGCCAAGACAAGTTCTCTTTGTTCAAAACCTTCAAAAAAGAAGCAGAACCGAGAATGAGCAGATTCAGTTTGTCTTCTTTACACAAACAAAACCTAAAGACCTGCACACTTTCATTTTTGTTCAGGGTATAGTTTTGCATCATTTGTGTAAGCAAAATTAATTTTCTCTAGTGTATGAATTAATAATAATAATAAAAAAAACAATGCTTCAAACTTTCTAAACAACACCATAATAATTACATTGTTAAATATAAAAAATGAAAACTTGTAGAACTTTATTGTAAAAAAAAACAATGCTTAAAAAATAAAAAGGTAATTTTAAAAATATTAAATATACTGTCTTTTAAAATACAGTGTAATTTCATGGTAACATTTTACAATAAGGTTTCATTAGTTAATGTATTAACTAACATGAACAAACAATGAACAATACATTTATTACCGTATTTATTAATCTTTGTTGATGTTAGGTAATGTAAATAGTCGTAAGAGTAGAGTAATGTTAACAACCATAACTTTTTATTTTAATGCATTAGTAAATGTTGAAATTAACATTAACTAAGATTTATAAATGCTGTAGAAGTATTGTTCATTCTTAGTTCATGTTAACTAAAGTAGTTAACTAATGTTAACTAATGAACCTTATTGTAAAGTGTTAACAATTTTATTTTATATTATCCCAGATAGTTTTCCAGATTTTATTTTATTTGACGTCTAACAGGAAACGTCCTAAAGACATATTGCTGATGAGCAAACACTCTAAAAAATATGTCGTCCAGATGTAAACACACACATTAAATAGTCGTCTCTGAGATGTATGTGTGCTATCAGGAACAAGGCAACTAAATTTAATAATGTTGACCAAATTACAGCTTTTAACTGTAGAAATTTTTGGCCCCACTTTATATTAAGTGGCCTTAACTACTATGTACTTACATCAAAAAATAAGTAGTGTACTTATTGTGTTCATATTGTATTGCAAAACATACGGGTAAGGTTAGGGACAGGTTTGTTGGTATGGGTAGGTTTAAGTGTGGGTTAAGGTGTCAGGGATGGGTCAACTGTGTAATTATAAATGTAATTACAGAAATGAATTACAGACGTAATTGCAGGTATTTTTAAACTATAAGTACAATGTAAACACATGTATGTACACAATAAGTGCATTGTACCAAATAATTAATTTAAATGTAAGTACATAGTTGTTAAGGCCACTTAATATAAAGTGGGGCCATAATTACACTTAAAGTACAGTTACATTTATTCTATATGTAATAGATAAATTAATTGCAATTAAATATAATTAAACAACACTATGTTGAATATATAAGCATATATAGATCGATTTTACAATAAATTACATATTTTAATTATACATAATATAATTCCATTTAATTGTTTTGTATATACTATATAAATTAAATGTAATTACATGATATAATTAAACATCAATATTCTATATGAAAATATTTATTTTGCTCATATGTAAATTTAGGGCTGGACAATAATTCAATATCAATATGTATCGCGATATAATTTTTTTCAATAACGGTGATATGATTTTTAAACACATTTC